GGTCACGCTTGGCAGGAGCAGCATGCTGACAAGCTAGCTGATTCTTCGCCATAAAAAGCGACTCCAGGTCCGATTCCAGAGGTGGAATGTGAGGATAGCCCCAGTTAGAAAACCCTTCCACCTTCATTATGGCAGGTGGAGATTGGAGCCTTGAGCTTAGGAGGTTCAATCAAGGCATTTGACCAACAGTTCATGGCGGCTGGGAACCATGGCTAAATAGGATGTGAACCATGGACCTGTGTGGCACCAAATGTGGCACCAAACCTTCCTGCCAAGTTGTCTGACTGAAGCAGAGCCTGTTTGGGGACAATTAAGCCTTTGCGGTCAGCCGTTGCAAAGCTGATGGTTGGTAGCTCCTGAAGGAGCACTCTGAGAACTGGAACAAAGGAGGAGCAAGGATGGCTCGGAGAGGAGGCACCTGCTGGGAGTGGCTCATTGACCTCCACTGTCAAGGAGGTATGTGTTAGCAGGGCTGTGGCAGCCAGCCTCGTCATCATCATCATATTTGGTTTGAACAGAGTCACCCAACTCCTGACTAACACAGAAAAATTGAAGTGCCTTGTCCAACAAAAAGTTGTTGTCGGCCGTGGAGGTAAAGAACTCGACACGGCAGAGGTTTTCAGCCAAAGGCAGAGCGGCAAGGAAAGGCAGGGTGGCATGGTGTCAGGGCAAGGCCTGCATGGTGAGACCTGAGGCAGACCTCACATTTGGCGTAAAGGTTGTAATTTAACCCGTCTGACAGGAAGAGCAAATCCACACTGCGTTGCTGGACATAGTGAGTTTTCTTCCAGATAATTTACTCTTTGAAGGATTCTTTTAGCTTCTAGCATGAAGAGAAATTGGGAGACAAATGATGGGCGTATGCCCCTTATATACCAGAGCGGGCATATATTGAAAGCTCCTCAGTGGTTGTCTAATTGAGAGACCACTTAACCAATGGAATCCCTCAAAGGGAAAAGAATCTACAAAATACAACACGACTGACCATGAAGGAAAAGGATTTTGTGTTTTCATTTGTTTGGGAAATGGACAAAAACCAAAAAAAAAAAATAATAATCCACCAGAATGTGTAAACATATAGGCACAACTGTGAAAATGAAACTGTGATTACATGTCAAGGTGTGACCTGTAACTTCACAGACATAGGTTATATTCAGCTGGTATTTAGGCTACTGAAGCCTAACAAACATCACTATCAAATCCACATAAGTGGGTGGGGCTTTCACTGCATACTCTGCAAGACAATCTAGTGGCCAAGAGCTCCATCTCAGCCTCTACAGGCCACAGTTAGAAGGTCCAAAGTTAACAGCTGGATTTACATTTATGTCTGTTTTCACGTCTTCCTTCATTCTAGATATCTTTGAACTCTCGTGAACTCTTGTTCAGACTGCAGCTGCACACAGATGAAGTCAGCTGAGGGTTTAGTGGATTCAGGGTGGAGTCTGGGATGGGCTCGTCTCTGCTTCATGCAGTTTGGTCCAACAGCAATGCGCCTTGTTTCCATGACAGCTTTTATCATGAGTCACTTCCCCTCTGTTACCTCACCTCTTATCTGTCTAAGCTCTGATCATTTCTGAAACAGTACTTTACCCAAATAATCCCTGCTTTTTTTCCAGCTGAGCTTAAAGGAAACAAATCAGCAAGAGACTAGAGATCTCTGATTAATGAGAACACAAAAAGATAAACAGATTAGTGGATCAACATGAATGTAAGTGACTGAACAGCAGAAAACTCTCATTTAGAGTTGAAGGTCTTAGCAGCTGGTTGGGTGTAAAGCCCGAGTCATGCTTCTGCGTCAGTGCGGAGAGACACAACGCCATTGTCCGTCCTTGCGGGTCTGTTGAGCCCCGCAAGGATGGACGGAGTCGAGCTCTCTTTTCTAAACTTCCGTCCGTCGATACAGAGAACGCAAGCTTGTAGTTGGTCATGGCACCGCTGTCGTCTGCACTGCCGCCATAGCGCCCTCAAAAACGTAAAGAGAGCCAAAGATAACTAGCGGCAGACACGGAGAAGCTTGAAGAATACCTCGCGAAAAAACTCTAAAAACATGAACGTTTATTTCCCCGTGACTGGAGGAGTGAAAAGATGTGCAGCAAGCGTTTTATTTGTGGATGGAAATGACAGGAAACGTGGGTTTAGAGGTGGGGAGCGCATGAAGAGGTGGAGGAGAATGAGAGACAAATATGTCCGTGTTAAAAGTCTCTTATATACACAAAACACAATATGAACACACGATCTTGAACCGATACATGACAGGATACCACAGAACAGCGCTACGCCCTCTGTTGTCCTGGCGGGGAATTGCTTTGCAACACTCTCCAGGAGACTGAGAAGTATGAGAGCAAAATGTCTCCGTCCGTGCGTGTGTGTCTCTCCCTTTTGGAGCTGACGGAGAAGATGACTCAGGCTTAACTCTTCAGATATCCCACAAAACAACCGGCATTTGTTAAGGTGAAAGCGTTGCTGGTGACGAGGAATGGAAGGAAAATCAAATAAGCACCATTCACACGACTTTCAAATCGCTGTTACTAAACTCTCAACACCCCAAAATGCAGCAGAAATCCTCCAAAACAACGTAATTCACAGAGCTTTGTTTAAGATGAAGGTCATCGTCACCAGCATCCTCCTTTCACACGACTCCTCAACTGAATCTAGTTGGCAGACCAGAACCAAGCTAGCTTTTAACTAGCTTGTTCAGTCTTTTCTAGTCTCGGTCAGAGCTGCCTGCACCCCAACAGACCACAGCAGACTGGATAACAGAGCCAACAACTGAGCGCTTAAAGCCTTTTAGCAGATGTGAAAAAACTCAGAAGGACCTCAGCCTCCTCAGGAGGTGGAGGCAGCATTGGCCCTTCTTATGCAGAGTATCTGTGCTGTTGGACCGGTTCAGTTTGCTGTTGAACACCCAAGTACTTAAAGGTATCCACTATCTCAATGTCTGCTTCCTGGATGTTTACTGGTGAGTGAGGAGGAGTGTTTCTCTGGAAGTCAATCACCACTTCCTTTGTCTTACAGGTGTTCAAGCGAAGGTGCTTACACTCACACCAGTCAACAAAGTCCACGATGGCTGTCATGTACTCCAGGTCATTCCATTCAGACACACAGCAGACAATGTCTGAGTCATCTGAAAACGTCTGCAGGTGACAGCTGCTGGTGTTGCGGGTGAAGACCGAGCTGTAGAAGGTGAATGGAAAAGGTAAGAGCACCATACCCCACGGAGCTCCAGGACTGCACACAACCACTTCAGACATTCAGTTGTATGTACAGTTGAACTGTTGGTCAGCCAGACGTACTATGGCCTGCTGGTGAGGTAGTTGATGGTCCATGCAGTCCGATGATCATCCACTTCTGCACACCTCATCTGCTGCTGCAGTAGACACAGCTGGATGTGTTGAAAGCACTTAAGAAGTCGAAGAACATCATTCTCACAGTGTAGGATCAATGGGGCACTCAAACTCCTCCACCACGGCAAGGGGAAGATTCAAGGAGGAGAGGCCCAAAGTACTCAGATAAAATCTTCTTTTATATCATTTCAATCAATAAAACTGTGAGTTGCTGTCCCATGACTAGATTTTTAAACTTTTCCTGGGACTGCTTCTTTAATTAGAGAAGATTTGTGCTCTAGACCTTAGCATGTTTGCCTGCTGCTCTCACACGGATGTGTGTGAGAGCTTTCTGAACCAAACAGCGGATCCAACCAGCCTCACAACATAAAATCAGTAAATGAAATACTGCAGGCAGCAGGGAAGGCTGCAGTGTGTGCGTGTGCGTGTGCGTACACGTGTGCTTCCTTTTGCATGGTTTTCATTTTGGGTGGAGGTTTGCACAATAATTATGGCATCCCAAGCCGTGGTGACAATCCTGGCTGGCGAGCGCTGCACTGGCCTTCTTTCTCATGGCAGACAGAAATAACCTCACCTTTTGCTAGAACCAACATCCTCCTGGTCATTAAATCATCTTCAGTTAGAACATCATGTTAGTTTTCTGACTGAAATCGAGCAAACAAAGTGAAAACTTTTCTTCCACTTCCTCCATGGTAAAACGTTTTCTGCTCCACAGAAGTGAGTTGCATCGTTGTCTGCTGCAGCTCAGACTGAACAGAGACCGAGAGAACATATCACACATATGGTAAACACAGGAAGTAACACATCATTACATCCCAGATGAGATGCAGATTGGATCATCCTTGAGAACAAAGGCCTGAACAGATGGAGGTGAGCTGCTTTACAGCAAACAGCTGCTTTTACATCAGCAGATAGAAATCATAAAAGTGATGCTTTTTTCTGCATTTTAACAAGTCCTGGGGCTGAAAACAGCAGACCAGAGAGTTGGGTTTCTTCTTGAAACCTGTCAAAAGTAAACCTGTGCTGGGAGCCTTTTATAGCGGTACTTTAACAAAAACCTGGTTTTCAGTACAACTATCTGAACAATGCTTTTATCTGTACCTTCATTTTTAACTCTAACTTTAAGAGAGAAGTACTTAAGTGTTTATTTATACATATCACAGGATGGTTCATGTCTGCTCATATTCTCTGGTTCTTTCATTCGTGCTGGCGTGCTGCTCTGCTGTGGAGCTCATCACCTGTGCTTCAATGACGTCACCTTCAAAATTCTGTCACCCCCCCACCACACTCCACCCCACCCGCCCCCACCGCCGGTCGCACACAGACTGTGTGAGTGAGCGTCCCCCAGTCAAGTGATGTGCAGCAGCAGGAAGAAAGAAGCTGTTTACTTTTTATTGGGAAAGCACCAACATTCGGTGATTTAGTGTTTTTGATCGGTACTGAAGAGGTACTAATTTTCAGTACCAATCCCTAAAGGCCCCAGATTCATATCAAATCAAATTCGCATGCACAAAGAGTGGCAAGGTGTCTGGAGAAAATTAAACCAAGGACAGTGGTGCTGTATTCGGCCCACTAAAGATTTAATATAAAAAAAAAAGCTGAGGTGCAAGATTTGGAAAACTGTCACACATATATATGTGTCAAAGTCAAACTCACCATGTTTAAGCCCAGCGGGGTTTGTCAGGGACCCGGTGAAGCTGTCAGAGAAGCCCCGCCCCCCAGCTTCCCTCCTCTGGCTGAGCAAGGAGATGAAGGAACCCAGAGATGGGAACGGCTGCTTGGTTCCTCTACCCAGAACCTGCAACAGAAAGAACACCAATAAGAAGGATTTGTGAATGCTGAAAATGTTTTCTTTTTAATTTGACAAAACTAACATGACTCACTATTTTAAAAATTGTAAGAAAGAAATTCAGTCAGACACCAGAGTTCAGTTTTATAAACCAAGAATAGAACCTTAGGCTGCTAGCACTCAGCTTAACCCTCCCACTGTCTTTATGGGTGACCCCGCGAGGAAAGTTGACCATTGAGCAGGGTTGATGGTTTATCCCTTGAGGTCCACGTGGCAGGGGTGAGGTGGTGCTCACTTCTCACCCCTGCCACATGGACCCAAGGGATAAACCATCAACCCTGCTCAACAATCAACTTTCCTCGCGGGGTCACACCCATTAGGACAGTGGGAGGTTTAAGGCTCAGATAATCCCACAAGCAGATAGAACAGTTATTTGATACCTTATAATCACTTTTGAGTATTTTATAATTACTTAACCTCTTAAGCCCTAGGTCCTTTTACAGAGATTTTCTTGAAAAACACATGCCCAGAATGAATTTGAGTATATCTCATAAACTACAAGATTTATTAGAGCTGAGGTTAGACTCTAAAGTTTACTCTAAAATTCTAAAAAGCAGCACTTATGTCAAAGATTGAGAGTAACAAGATCTGGAACATAGCAGAAAGGAGAAAATAATCTGTTCCGCCTAAAAAAATTCCACTACCTAGTTGTAGCCTAAAACATCTAAAAATCTACAGAATAGGATCTGAACATTTGCTGATCCCAAATTCATGAAAAAGAAATTAAGTATAGAGAAGTTAGAGAGGTTTTAGTTGATAGAAATCTAGGCGGACCTCAGCTTGGACCAATTTGGACATATTTGTACTGAATTAATTGTAAATTGGGGTGTCTGGTCATTTTTGAAGTTTTTAAACAAGTTTGGGACCAGAAGTTCTGGTCAAAGCTGACTGATAGATCCACCTCCCATTTTTCAATGGGGATTACTATTCTAATGTCTATTTTGGACATTGTCTTATATACTTTAGACAGTAGTTTGGGGGGTTTGAGATTATAAAAGTCTAATACCCTTGGTGGTGTTTTTAATTCTACTTTATTGAGCTTAATTTTTTGTTTAACTACAGATTTAATTTGGTGATATTCTAAAAAGCTATTCTTATCCATTCCAAATTGAGAGACTATTCTATTAAATGGGATGAAGTCCAATCCTTCATATATTTGTTCCAGGTATAGGATTCCTTTACTTTCCCAGTCCGGAAGGTTCATCATTTTGTTATTTTGCAAAATATCAGGATTCTTCCAGATGGGTGTGCGTCTGCATGGTACTAGTGAAGACTCTGTCATTTTTAGATACTCCCACCATGCTGTCAGAGAGGTGCTGATACTAATACTTTTGAAGCCTTCTTATTTTCTTATGCTTAAGCTAATAAATGGTAAGTCTGAAAGATGTATCGTATTGTAAAGTGTCTGTTCTATATATATATATATATATATATATATATATATATATATATATATATATATATATATATATATATATAACCAAGACTCATCTAGTGGGTTATCATTCATACTTCCCTGCTCCGTGTGTATTTCTTATATTTTTCTGTCGAACTGTGAATAGTTTTGCAATTGTTCTGTACTTTTACGTAAACGCTTATATAATTGTCAGTATGAATGAGGAGTCAGATTTGAAAGGTTTGAAGGCTGGTGGGCTCTGATGAGACCACAATTGTCCTTCTCTTTTTCTGTTAAAGAAAGAGTACATCAGCCCAGACTAGTGGGGGGTTTGTGGCGTAAGTGGCAGACAGAGAGCTTCATCCCTAAGAATGATAAGTTGTGTGATATGAACCTGGCTATGTTTGAGTTTGAAATGCCTCTGAGGGACAAACACAACCAGGTTGCAGTGGACGCAGTGAATAAGTTGAGTTTTGTGGCAAAGAGAAAGAATGAGAATAAGCTTCAGGAGTTAGATGATGAGAGACTGCATGTGCATTTAATCACAACAGCCGCAAAACTTGTTTCTGATGGCATCCGCAGTAAAAAACAAAATCACACAGAATCTGTTGATTATGTACACAGTACACACAGCTGAAAGTAAAGCCCTGCTGCTGCTAGACACACACTGGAGGGGTCTGCAACTCCTTCTGCTCCACCGTATCCCCTTCCCCCTCCCTACAGTCATGACAGCTCTGCAGGACGTGAGCCTGCACAAGCTCCTGTGTTCCAGGTCACTGGAGGCCTAACTGAGGCTCAACAGGTCGTTTCACCCACACCTGAGCAGTACCAAGTGTTAATTGACTTCAAATTGAGCCTTTAGAAACTTACTTAATTTTATTGGTAGATCCTCCTAGTGATTTAGACTATTTGGATTGTGGGCCCCGAAAGTAATTGATTTCTATCATTTGCTTGTTAAGGCCCATTCTAGAACCGCATAAAAATCCATTCATGATTGTCGATTATGGTTAAATTTAATTTCTTTTTCATATTAACATATTGGAAGAATGTTTCATCTATTTGGGGCTTGATTATAAATTTGACTCACAAGTTATATTATGATTGACACATGCGTATTGTGTCAGTTTTCTCCTCAGTTCCCTTCAATTGGACCTGTATCAAAGGAAGACTGTCCTCCTACAGATGGAGACACCAAATGGTCCTTCTAAAGGTCATCAGAGGAAAGTGGGCAGAGCCGAGGTGGAGAGGACTAGTGTTTTCTGTTTTCATCTCTCTCTTGTTAGTCTGCTCTATTCTTGTTTTCTGTGGCTGTTGCTGTCTCCCTCTTGTCAGGTCCCGTTGCATGAGGTACATAACCACCACCGTGGAGGGTTTGTCTCAAGTCTCAATGGCTCTGATACCTGATGAATTGTTGGATGATGAATTTCTTTCTGTTTCAGCTTCTGTTTATCCTTCCTTGGACCCAGAGGGGTTCATCTCAACTAATGATGAGTACATGGAGATGATGGAGTCACGCTGATTTCATCACCTTTTGTTGGTCCCTAGTGTAATAGTGACCAAAATGGTAATTGTTAGGCTATAGCTCCTGCTAGCACTCAGCTTAAGGCTCAGATAATAACACAAGGAGATAAAATAGTTATTTGATATTTTATAGTTATTTAAGATTGATAAGTTTGGCTGATTTCGTATTTACACAATGCAATAAGGAATGCTGACTCTGTGACTCAATCATTTAATCAAAGTATTAAAGGCCTTTTATTCTGGAGTCTCCTATTTTATATAAGTGAATAGAGAATGCTTATTCTTGCATGCTATATAATGAAACCACCATTATTTACTCACCATGATTAGACAACTAATGCTTCACATAAGCATCCGTTAAAACACCTTTGACATATTATTATTAAAGCTGCTAATATGGTCACACCTTAAGGTTAAAGAAAAATACATGTTTAAAGGCTGCATGAGAAGTTACACTCTTGAACTCAGCAGCAAGGACCACTAGAGCATTACATGAGTTAATGGTGAGGTCAAAGTGCACAAAGAGATGGGCACCAGACCCCAGAAGGGACTGAGAGCCCCGATTAGGGCCGAGTGTCTCAGTTGGAAAAGAGCAATAAATAAAAGGAAGTGTGTTTTTTGTGCTGACATGATATTTGGCAGACTGCCTGGAAATTAGGTGATTTTCATCCTATACAGAGACGGACACCAGCGGACCAATGGGAAGAGACCACATTTGCATAGTTCCTTAGTGATTGTAATAAAGCCCTGGGTCAGGAGACAGGCTTCAGTCGAACTCCCAAAGAGTCCTCTGAAGGTGATGTACTGTGGTCAGGGACTTAGACGGTGATCGACCCAGGATCCTGTAAACTGTTATCATTTTCTGTGGCTTAGAAATAAATTGTCAGGATTTAACTTTGAACAACTGTTTTCATTGTTGTTCATTGTTTTTTATTATTCACTACTCTGCCCAATCTTTTCCAGCTCAGCCTTGTTATTCACAGAGCTTCACAATAATTACATGGGCATACAAAGAACAAAACCAGTTCCTCATGGGTTTACACAGAACAGGACCAGTTCTACGTGATGCTTGTGCAGATAGAGTTTATCAGTGTGGAAGACCCAGCAGGTTTCATCACCACACATCAGGCTATGTTCTTCTTGTGGGAATTGTCTTGAAGTTGAAGAATTCCAACCCAGGAAGTGAGTCTTAAATAGCTATTAAGATGTTGGATAGCTGAAACAGTCAAAGAAGGGAAATTCCCAACACCCTATTACTTAGTAAACTTAATGATAAAATACAAACTGTAGAAATAGTAATTAAAATAAACTAAAAAATAAGTGTCCAACACTCGCAGAGATAATTATGATTTTACATAAAATATAATCCACTGAACAGCAAAAAGAGAAAAATTGTGTTAAACGCTACATGGTTCTGTTCAGGCTGCAATAAGTTTAATGGAGGAATGGTAACTGAAGAAACGCTTTAGAGGTGGGTAACAATAAGGTGCTTGCAAGGCCCTAATTATAAACAAGAGTGAGTTTTAGTTTTGTCTCTGATACCAGGCATCTCCAGGCTCCTGAGGGGACTAAAACTGCCTCTCCAAACGTTCACATATTGTTTTCTGAGCAGACACTGATCCAGACTCTCGGCTGCATGAACAGACAGTGACAACATCACCAAAACTACACACACAACCTCAACATTCACTAAAGCATTTACCAGCCTCAACATCAGCAGTTCACAGCTTGTGTCTCAGTGAGCTGCGGGACGAGAAGGAGGAGGAGAGGAAGGATGGACAGAAAGAAGATTTCAGGATATATAGAGGGAAAGAAGGGGGGTTGGCAATGAAAAGTTGGAGAAAGAGAGGAAAATAGCAGGAGGACAAGAAGATCAGGGAGGAAAAGAAGGATCTGGAAAAGAGAAGATGAATTCAGATTAAAAAAAGGGGGGAAGTGAGAAAAAAACACAGAGGAAAATATAAAAGACATGAAGAACTGGAAATGAAAGAAAATCTGGATGAAGGGGAGATGAGAAGTGGAGGGAGAACAG